TCTCTCTCTCTCTCTCTCTTTCTCTCTCTCTGTCTCTCTCTCTCTCTGTCTCTGTCTCTCTCTCTCTCTTTCTCTCTCTCTGTCTCTCTTTCTCTCTCTCTCGCTCTCTCTCTCTCCCTCCCCCTCATATTTAATTCAGTCAGATTGTTATTTGATCCTTGGCACTGGGAAAAGTGTAGTTATTGACAGCCAGTGGCTCACAGTCTGTCCGCTTACTATAGAAGCTCAATCTTTTCGTGGTTAAATGTTCTAATCTCCATGCAGATGGATTTTGCTTTGTTGCAGTAATCTTTAACAAGTTTATTTATGTGTTTGTGGATATTCTCGTCTTGCTCCTCCAATCATTTTCCACAAATGCTGTTATGTTCACTTCCAGACTTTGTGGTCACATGACTCGGACAAGACGATTCAGGAATATAATACAGACAAAACTGTACAATACTGTTTTTCGGTGCTGTCAGTGTGAATGCTTGTGTATAAGCGTGTGAGTGTGTAGGTGGGCACGTGCATAATTGTGTACTGTATTTGTCTCGTTTGGTCTTGATTGCAATGAAATTGATAACAGAAAAACAATCATTTAGCAATATAAGACTTTTCTTAACCCGGGTTAGGGTTAACCCTAACCCTAACCCGGTAAATTGTAACTTGTAAATAATAGGAATTTGCTCAAAACTGATTATAACTAAGTTATTGTGAATAATTTAATTATGAGACAGAATTTAGTTGAAAGTTGAAAGTAACATGTTACCTAGATATGACCTAAACATTTTTGCTTCAAAGAGAGTAAATTGTCAGGTATTTGGTAAGGGGAAGTTTTAAAATGCTTTGTTGTTTGCTACATATTGCTGATGACTCTGATTCTCCTATTATGTTTGTCTCCAGGAACCTGACGAGCTATTCAAACCACTTACGAGTTTGGAAGAGTACAACAATCACCTGAAGCTGGAAGAAAGCATCCTGAGAGGCCTGGACCTGTGGCCACGTACTGCCAACACACAGGATGCCTGAATCACACACATTCACACACACTCTCTCACACACACACACAGACACACACACTTTATATAAAACAGGTTTTGTCACTTTTTCTATTTATTTATACAGTTGATAGCTTGTTTTTTAATAATAACACCTTTTTTACAGTATTCACAATATTTGCCATTACTGCTAATGTCTGACTGTATTATTTTCATTGAAATATGATCTAATTGTGAAACATGAGAACGTGTAAATCAATTCGTCAATCGAAAATCAGACCATTTTTTGGTTGGTGCTTCAGAGTCAAACATGGATTGTTTTCATCCAACCCCCATCTGAGATCTCGTTACAGGGTAATGCCATCCATTTGCCCCCTCGTCCCCACCACTCCCTGTGGATACAGTCTGGACAACATCAAGGATCTGACTTTGGCAGGAAGTCATTTTATGGCTCTTCAATTTCATGATACTTGTTGTTGTTGTTGTTGTTGTTGAAAGTACATGAATCAATCTTGTATGGTCCATCTTGAGTGTTGACAAAGAAATGTTTTAATAAAAGTCACAGTCTTCCCTCTGGCACTGAGAGTAATTACGCAAACACTGTTGACACATGGTTCACACGCACTTTAGGTAGCTTAGACGAAGTTTGGTGATCAGGCTGGGAGTGAGGGCGGTCCCTCAGGGTCAGATCCCCGGCGCTGAGGTTTGCGCTATAGCTGAATTTGTGTTACTACAGCTCAGCTTTCTGAAGGTCTGTCTCCCTGACTGTGTAATGTGAAAGGACTCCTTTGTAGTGACGAATGAAGTCTTTCAGCTCATTGTTTTTTTTGTTTTTACGGCACACAACTTTACTGTTTTGGTTCAGTCTCACCTCATCCACAATGCTTTCAGCCACAGCAGCCGGCTGTTTTCAGCAAGAAAGCGCTAAAAAACCCACTACTCAGCACCAAATAACAGAGAAAGTTAGCAACTAGCTAGTGAACAACATATTCGCCAGGTGGCCCTCAATCAGATTCTAAATTGATGCAAATGTGGCTCTCTATCAGCTAAGTTGTTCAACATGTTAAGGTAATGATTGTTGGGTGAACAGCTTGTTCTGCTGTCCCATCACCTGCCAATAGCTGCTGACTAGCTGCTCTCCTATCACTCGTGAGACTCGTCTGTTTGCAGAGGGCTGCACCTGAATGACTGGCCTTGAAATGTTGTCAACATGAACAAGGGAGCAGTGGAGTACTGTTCACACAAATGAGTAGCCCTGCAGCTAAAAAAAAAAAGTGTGGTGTCATTAATTTCAGTTTCCGTTTTCACCACAAGTGAGACTTACTTTTGTCACATTGTTCACAACATTTCTGAGAACGCTGTTTCCCTTGCCGTGTGTTACAAGGAGTACCTCTCCATCTCTCTGGACTCCATTAGTTTCGCTCCTTCATGGGGATGAAATAAGGACGCCTCAGAGTGCTGGGTTCATCTCAGGTCAAGAGCAGCCCAGAAAACCCATAGTCACAATCTGACAGCCGGTGTCCTGACAGAAAAAAGGCTGTAGGGACAGAGGAAGGGGGGGTCGCTGCATAATATAGGGCAGCTGTCTTTTGCCAGGTTTTCACACTGTGTCTGATGTGCCTCAAAAGGAAATTGAGAGGATTGAGAGGACAGATGAAGAACTTCAATACATGTGGTTGAACGCTGGGTGAGAGGGGGAAGGAGAGAGTGAGAAAGAAGAAAAAGAAGATGGCAAGACAGAGAACAGAGTTGTTCCCCTCAAGAGAATTGAGCTGTGGTCGACTTCAATCTGGCCATGACTCATTCACGTGGACGGTCCTGTCACGGAGTGGAGGGGGTGGAGGAGGGTGAAGAATGGGCTGATGTGAGGGTGCACAGAGGCAGGCGTCCATATGGCCCCTGAGCCACCAACAAGGGGTAACAAGGGTGACAAAAGGGGCCTCTGCTCTCCAGTCGTCCCCTCAAACCTCTCTGGGAATTCTGTTTTGCAGTCCCTCTCTCCTCTGCGGAGCCTCTCACTTTCTCCCAGGCCAGCTCAGGAATGTACCTTCTGCAAACCAACACCCACACACACACACACACACACACAGGGAGTGTCCTCACCTTTGCTGGTTAGTTATTATTGTAATGAATGATGCATAGAATGTTGTGCAATTGAATAAGCTTGCTAGCAACTTAAACACCCGAGGCATTTGAAGTTCCACATACATATGCAGAGACATTTGCAGGTTAAGCTCTGCTGATTAGCACTCACACCTCTTTAATGTCTTGGACAATATGCAACAGCACATTATCCAATACACAATACCCCCCAGCAATGAAGGGTATTCATGATGATGTCAGATTTTCCTCAGTTGATTTCTTCATCTAAATCCAAGAGATTACCTCAACACAAAAATAAATCTTTAACTAAGGGGGGGGTGTCTATATGGGATAGATTGCCAGCAGTCCAATTTTTATCACCAGTTCTTCAAAGTTTTAAGCCAAATCCTGGGAAACAATGTGAGCAGATGCTGGGCAGGAGGGGCTGTAAATCTGGCCTGGCGAATTAAGCCATCGCCTTGGCATTGTTCTGGCTGGCCTCTCAGCTGCTCCTGCTGGGGAGGGTGTTAGGTGGGATGGGGTGGAGCGAGGGTCTGCTGTCTAAATCTCCCAACAAGGGGGCACCCTGCACATTTCACACATAGTCATCCAAGTTGGACCCCAGCTGCAGACAGAGAGATACAAGTCACACAAACACACAACGTCACAGGTCCTGCAGGAGAAGGAACAGGTTGTTGCCTCTGAGACAAAATTATTGCTCAGACATGTTTCTTCCTGTCCTGTCCATCAGAACGGCACATTTGTGTCTAGTTAAAAAACAAACAAAACAAACAAAACAACATTTCCTTTTACCTTAAAGCAGCCGCTGAGTTGCTAAAATTATTCCCAGTTAAATCGCAAGAGGCTGTTGGTAGGTTTCATTAGTTGACCCTTGACCGCATAAGAGATCAGGTGACCAGGGAACTGCTGCGGAATGTTCCCTTTTGACTCCTTTTCATTTTCTAATTTCAAAGCTCTCAACTGTTTGGATTCCTGTCATTTTTACCAGCCCCAACCCAACGTGCAGTTGAGAGCTCTGAAAAAAGCTATTAAGTACACCTTGAGTCAGAAAAAGGACTTTCATGCTCATTACAGTATCAACGTCCCTCACTATTTTTTTACTACAATCTAGTAATGCATTCTTATTATTCTTTTAAATCTTTCCACTTTTAGTCATTATTATACTGCCCTTGTTTACATGTTCTCTTGAAAAGTGCCTCAGTTATTCTGAGTATTTACTTCCTCCCAGGCAGGAGAGTCTCACTCAAGCATGCGGTATGCTGAGCAGCATGAAGGATTGATGCTCTGCCGCTTGATCTACTTCAAAAGAAGGCACTTCAGTGAGGAAATATCCACAATATTTCTACCAGAGGAATTCAGGTACAGATGCAGATTGAGAGGTTTTTCATACGGTATCTTGGCATAAACCCAGACCAGGATGGTCCCTTCTGAGTGGGATCTGTCATCTAAACTATCAGTCCATCAGAGCAAACACATGGAAAAACCTTAAGGTCTTTCCTATTGAAACTTCAAAGTATTTTTGAACATTCTGTCATCAGTGATTACAACAGACATACATAGTGATTGAAAGATACTTTAACAGAACTTTGCTTCAATTCAATTAAGTAAATTTGTTTGCAGGACACTCACAAAATAAGCCTCAGTACAAATTGTTGTGACTTTTGAGAGGGAATTTTTGGAATAGTTCCACATATTGGGAAGCCTGCTTATTTGCTTTCTTGCGAGGAGAATAATACCACCTGTGTATCCATGTTGAATATGAAGCTACCACCAGCATCAGGTTAGCTTAGCTTAGCATAAAGACAGAAACACGGAACCGAGTCGCAAGTAGTCCGACACATAATCCCTATGTCATTTTTACACTTCAGATTTTGTATGGTACATATAAAGTGTAAATTAGTTTGTGTCCGAAATGCTAGTGGGTGAATATCGCCAGCTTTGGACAGAGCCAGGCTAGCTGTTTCCTCCTGTTTGCAGTCTTTGTGCTAAGCTATGCTAAATGGCCGCTGGCTGTATAGCTTCATATTCATCCTGCAGATATAAGAGCGGTATTGATCTTCTCATCTAACTCTCAGCAAGAATCCGAATCATAAGCGTAGTACCCCTAAATTTGGAACTATTCCTTTAAGAAAAGAGGCTATCCTAGCTAGTAGTTAGCATCAGGGAGACTTCTCAAGCAGCAGGCAAACTAAGTTTTACTGTTGACAGCTGAAGAGTGCTCTGCTGACAGGAGGCAGGCGATAGCATACACTAAAATACCAACTGTGTCTCTCCTCTTCCCCTGCAGAGAACAAAGTTATCAGCGTGCTTCATTTCAGCATGATGTTACAGGCCGGTTGGAGGATGAATCACTACAAAAGGTGTGCCACCTGCAAGTTTATCAAACCACGGAGGCCCAAATCTTCTCATTGAGCCCGACCACAGCTGCTGTCAATGCTTCTTTTCAGTCTCACCTTTCACATTTTTCTCTCCTATCAAGCGGAGCAAACCCTCACCCTCATCCTGTCCTCACGCTGAAAGGAGATTGCTCTCGTCTGGAGGCGCAGGAGGGGGAGAGGTGATGAGCAGCTTACCTCTTGGAGGGATTAGCCTTATTAAAATGAAATAGTCTAGTCCTGACTGACAGAGCAATGGAGGTGGAGGAGGGAAGAGGCAGGGAGGACAGAGGAGAGGGCCTACGTTGTGTGAGGCCCGGCCCCTGAGGATCTGAAGCACCGCTCCTCTGTGTTCTCCTTTCCTCCATTCCTCACTTTCACCTCTCGCTCTCTCCACATCTTCTCCCCCCCCCATTTTGCCTCTGGTCCGCTCTCTCATCATCACCGCGGTCCAGAACAGGCGGATCTGTCAGCGGTGCGTCAAGAGATCTGCCCCAAGGCCCTCAGATGATCTGCCAAGTACAGGGGCCGGACTGTAGGGGAACAAAAGACCCCCAAAAAAACACATCAGAAAGGCTGGGACCTTGGTAAAATGTATTTAATAGCCCTCCTATTGAAGGGCACTGCAGGTATGGAATGTGTGCCCAGGATCACAGGTTCCCAGCAATTACCCAGGCTTAGCTCGCCCAGGTTCATAAGGAGTGAATGGGTAGTATGTGTAGGAGAACATTAACCGGCCCGAGCCTCTCACAACACATCAAATGAAAGATGTACAAAAAGGATTGAACGTGCTGAATATGACTTTGTAATTTGTGCCTAATGACATGTAGTCGGTGGTAATCCCTGTCATGCACGTAAAGCCACGCTTGAATCAGAGGCCCAGAGTGCACGCCATGGTTGTGTCTTGTGCCGAGACTCATTGAGACACAATATGAGTCTCATGTTGGCCTGAGCACAGGATACATTTCTTCGTCTAACGAAGAAAGTTTTCAACCCCCCGAAAAACTAAAGTTTTAAATCTTGAGTATTTATCTGCACCAATCTTATGTTTTTCTTATTTGTAATTGATATCAATCGAAGCTGTTGCTCAAAACAGTTTTCACAGATTCACAACTGTTTCCACCAAAGATCAAAAAGTCCAATTGCTGTCTTCACCAATTATTGGAAGTGTGTTAGGCTGTGCAGCTAGATGTAGTAGGGTACTAGAGAAAGCGGGTATATTTCTTTGGATATATTAGTAGTTATTTGTCGGCAGAAATATTAGTCACAGTTGAGCGACACAGTCCTAGTTGAAAGAAAGTCCACCACTGTCATAGGACCATTGTCAACATAAATCACAAACAATCTAACTCTGGAGACTTATAGGAGATCAACGAACAGCAAAGGCCAATCAGGAGGAAGGTAGTGAAAGGCAGAAGGTGTTTTCAATCGACTTATCAACCCAAAGGCCTATAGAAGTGAATCTGAATAAACACATAGACAATGCATGTAAATGCTTCCACACACATGCACGTCCTTTGTTCAAATTATGAATATATTCTTTTACAATTTGTCATCTTCTGGAATATAAAATAAATGGATCATTTATTTCTTATCTGAAGAATAGGATGTTAATACTGCAGCAGACTGCGTGTTGACTGTCTGAAATACTGTAGTTAGTTGTGTACAGCCAACTGCTTTACTTTAAAGCCACGTGGATTTTAAATGTCTGCTACGTCTCATCTTGGATAACACTACACTGGAAAAAAACAACTAAATAAAGTGTGTTTTTGTGGTGTGCTGGTTGACTTGCAGCCATGACACTGACTCAAAGAAGGTCAGCAGAGATTAAGGGAGCAGGGGAGCGAATAAGAAGAAGGGGAGAAAAGGTCTGGTTTCACATGCAGGTGGCTGTCAAGGATGTTTACCTGAAGACACCCATATCTCTTGTAGCTCCCGGATTAGAAATGAACAAAAGTTTAGTTCAGTTCAGACAGACAGCCTGATATCAAGTGGCTCCCCTGACTATCCAAACAGGCTCCGCTGTTATTATATCTACCTCTGTCTTCATATGGGATTTCACTCTTGCTTTTAAAAGTATTTTTAAAATAGGCACCCGAGTCCTTTTTTCCCCCAGATATTTAAGGATGCAATTCAGAATGTAAGAAACGAATATTCCATGTTTTTTAAAATCCTTTTCCATCATCAAAAGACCCCAAAATAACAATTTACACACGGGGACATCATTCTGTGTGTTTAAAATGATATACATTTAAAACAGTCACTTAAATATTTGGCTCCATCGCCACAAAATTCCAGTCTGAATGTTTATGAGGGTTTAATGCTGACAGATGTTTTTTCATGACTTCAGTGGGGATATAAAACAGGGCTTCAGGGTGCAGACAGGTATGTGTACATTCTGTACCCTAGAGCTTTCTCACACCTGTTCAAGGCAGCCATAAAAATGTGATATGAACCTACAGTAGCGACATCAAACAAGGCTGAAAACCATTTAGTGCTGAAAGGCCCATGGCTGCTCTGACTTCTCATGCTAGCTGCCAGAGATATGTATCACCTCAGCTGGAGCCGCATGGGCGGTTTTCACGGTCGTGATTTTAGATCTCATTTTGTAAAAAAAACATAAAATGACATTTAACTGTTTCAGCACACTGCTCTGGAGCCTACCTGTGGTACATGTTGTTCTAAGTTTAGGTTAAGTGTCTCACAAGTGCTTCTGGTCATGTTTTTTTTTTCTCTTTCTGGGAGCCACAGTGAAAGTGCAACCTTCACTGACGGCTAAATACAGCTGCATTCTGGGAATGTCCCTGAAGCTGGAAGTCGTTCTGGGAGATTCCCACAAGCCAGCAAGGGCAATTCCCCGACTTATTTATCTGTTCTCTGCTGAGGCTGGGTTACAATGCTCCCACAGAAAAGAGATGAATCTACAAAAATAACAGAGTCCACTTTCATGAAGTTTAAGGTCAGATTTTTCAACTGGGTTTCAATCAAAACAAAGATGGTGTTTAGGATGGTTTGGGAAAATGTGGCTGCAGTCATGATGTTGAGTCATTTAAACAAGAGTGATGTGATCTACATTTTTTTCTTTCTTTTATAACCCATTGCCAGAAGACGTTTTTATGAATGAATTCAGGCTTCTCTATGTTTGTAGGAGGGACTGTGCCTTAAAATGTACTATTCTGACTGTCAAACCCAGGTGTTTTGGGATTTCTCAGCACAGAAATGTTTTTTTGCTTTGTATACATCTCTGCATAATCAGATCTGTTAAATACTCTTCCAGTTTAAGCAGCGCTTTAGGTCAAGTGATTGTTTAATTCTGGGAAATTGTCATTCAAGGTGTAGTAGAAACTAGGAAAACTAGGATGAAAGCTCAATTACATCCTTTGCAGATTATAGCTGAATCAAATGATGGACTGTGTATCTCTGCCAAAAAAAGAGTCACAGTCCACATGTAAATGTAAAATAATATACTTTATTGTGATCATACATTTCTCAGGATCAATACAAAAAATGTCTTTTGTATTGAGCTAAGAGGATACTAAAGCAGACGGGAAGAGCACCTAACGTGTTGCCACTGCAAAGGAAAAACGAGTTTATTTCTTTGAAGTGTTTGCAGGCAGAAATCAGCATCTTTGAATTTCCTATTTTAAAAACAATCTAAATGAGATCAAACTGCAGGTGATGCTCTCCCACATTGTTTTTTTTATACTGTAAATGGGGCCCTGGTTGTTTTTGTGTTGCCAGTACAGACAGATGGTTTGAAAGGAACTCTGCTGAAACTCACTTTCACCAGACCGACTACAGCAGCAGCCACAGCTTCACCACTATGAAGCAGCAGGACTGTGAACACACACCATGCTGGGGGGGGGGGGAAGAACAGTAAAAAAAACAAAATGAAAAATATATAAATACTAAAGCAAACCTTACATCAACTGTCCATCTTCTCTTCAAGCCCAATCTTATGCCTCTCTTTCTTAAAACAAGTGTTCGATTTTGCAACTGGGTTTCACAATTGAAACTGTTTAATGCAACATATCTTTTCCATTTGTTTCAAGAAAACAAGACTGATGTCAATTTGAGATGCACATTTTTGATAGTGGAAATAAATGGCCATATTCTAAGATAATGCTGAATATAATGTATGACATGGAAGTTGCACAAACAACATCACTGTCAGCATTCAAGTCCTCTGGAGAAAAGCTTGACCAGTGCAGTCATCTGTGTATTGGAGGAACAGGATGACGAACAAACGAGCATACATTACAAAACAAGTCTTTTTACACATAAATATCAAATACAAAGGCATATGAGAAACAGCCTTGTTTATGTCAGTAAAGCTTTTGACCATGCAACGTTCAGTACCTTAAAAAACACCAATAATCATCATGAACACACAGCTTAGTCCACTACAGACACAAAACAATGTCAAATATATACACAATACAATAAAAATATCACTTTTTTTCTGCAAGAGCACGATTTTATCATATATTTTACAGCTAAAGTTGTACCATTAGTCCAGCACATTAAGATGTGTACAGGTAGCTTGAAGGGAGGAAAAGCGACTATTTCTACAACACTACGAGGTCATCAGAAGTATTTAAATACGCCATTGAAATAGAAGCTGTAAAAAATAATATACTCCGAATACATTTATATAATTATATACACATACAGGTTAAATACTGATCATTCTGAATCCCTGGATTGCTAATAACGTCCTTTGTCGGTTTAGGCAGCTAGCTAAGTCGTACGAACTGAAGCCCTCCGCCAACAGCTTTCACTGTTTGCTTTGAAGCTGTGCTTCACATTTCAACTTTGTGTAATTCACTGTTTTTGCCAAAAAGATGGGAAAATGTAGCTTATTTGCTTTTTCTGCAGAGAGGTAGAAGATTGATACATGAGCTAATCTAAGCATAGTGCAAAGACTCTGTGCAAACACAGGGATTAAACAAGAAAGGGTTGTTGTCGTTTCCCCCTGCATCCAGTCTTCACGCTAAGCTAGGCTAAAATAAGCTAATGATCTTCTAGTTCTAGCCTGATATTTAGCATACAGACACGACATGTCATCAATCTTCTCATCTAACTAACTCTCGGCAAGAAAGTGAAAAAGCTAATTTACCAAAATGTTGGAGTATTCTGTTACGCCAAAAGTAAATATGATGCCGCATGAAACCCATTTTCTCCGTTTTTAGTTGCCTGCGTAAGATCAAATACATCTCTACTGTTCAGAGATAAAGAGTTTCATTCTAGACCTTTACATGGGTGTCAAAACATCTTGCACAATACAGAACGTAAATAAATGTTTTTCTTACTTATTTATCCTTAACAGGAGGTTTCAGTGGCGGCTGTGTCTCCCGTAACTCAGTCCACAGTCCATTCTACTGCATGAGCTATAATGACAATCTACACTACTGCCTGCCTTATAAGTGCATTATTGTTGTACAACATTTAGTGTTTCATACCTCAATAGAAAAGCTCTCTGCTGCCTTAAAAAAAAGGAAATCCACCCTCAAACAGAATGCACACAGGTTCCTCCTATGATCTTGGTTTGCATTACTAAACACTGTGTTTACGTGCTCAAAAAGTAGACGGTAGAAGCAAGAAACTCAGATATTTCCCATTCAGCATTAGAGACAAATGTTCTGGTCAATAACAGCAGGGTTCAATGAAACAGGGGAGCAGTTTTCATCCATAAGTGATAGAGGCCCTGTCCATGTCTGGAGAACCACCTTTTCATTTATTAATCTAATTAACTAATTACAAACGTTTCTTGGAATCCAATTCTTAATTGAAAGGCCGAATGCATCCCAGATTTTTTGCCTACCACTGCTTAGTTGTGGAAGTGTCCAATGGCTTCAGAAGCCAGCCATCAAAACTCTGGAAGCACTGGGATGTTTTGGTGTGAAAATGGTCAATGTTAAATAAAGTATATCAGGAATTTTGCCCTTAAAATGTTGACATCAGTATCGCTTAAATGATTGCCTGAGTAGAGCCCCGTAGTCCCCTTTGTGGATTCGTACCTGCTAAAAAACACAACACACTGCAGCCTTTGTCTGTGTAAAAACGTATCTTCATAACATCACAGAGGTTATCAACACTGTATCGAGATCACACGAGGGAATGCATTGTATTTCAGGGTGGATTTTCCTCTTGACGTACCACCTTCACACAATTAAGGCACCGTTTAAACCCCCGAGGGGTCAATGGGTTCTTCTAATAAGAAGAGAAGCAACAATAACAACATGGAACACAGAACCGGACTGCAACAAACACACAACATGAAGTAAAACAGTCGACAAAATAACAATAAAATAAAAACACTGCGGAATGTCTATGGGTAAATTACAAACGCCGGAAGTGCCCCGTTGCATTTCTTCTCACCTCGTCCTTTAGGTTTGTACAGAAGCACCGCGCCGACATCACAGGAGCTCCATGGAAACACTGTGGCTGTATCCTGAAGCACCTTGAACGGTAAAGAAGGTCTTTCCAAACACCATCAGTCTTCACGAGTGTGTGAGTGGATATGTGTGTGTGTCACTGTCGTAGGAGTCAGTATCCAACGTTGAGCTTGTTCTTGTTGAGCTCTCGCTCCAGGTTTCCTATGAGAGTGTCGATGCTCTCCTGCAGGTCTCTGAGGTTGACCCTGTTGCTCAGCACGGGGCTGATATCCTGGATCTTCATGTAAGCCTGGTAGGTGTGCTCTTTGGGCAGACAAGGGGGCAGGATGTGGTCGCACATCCTCTCCTCCTCCTTGTCCTCTAATGGCTGCCCATTGCCCGTATCACTCTCTACTTGCTTCTCCTCCTCCTCCACCTCCTCCTCATATTCCTCCTCTCTCTGAGGCTGCTCCTGCTCGGCAGGATCAGATGCAGGGATTGTGACCATCTGCCCGTCATCTTCCTCTGCGTCCTCAGGCTTCTCCTGCACCTCGTCAGCTGCCTCTGTGTCCTCGGAGGCCACGTCGTCATAGTCCACCTCCTCTTTGTTGGGAGGCAGCAGAATTTCACAAGGGAAGTAGCTCTCGCCGCATTCGCTCCAGTCGCCAGCGTAGCGGTTGCTGGGGCTGTCCAAACGGCCCGGTTTGGGCCGCAGAACACCCGCCATCTCCGCTTCAGAGAGGTTCAGGACCTGGGGGCGCTCTTTTCTCCGCCGTATGGGAGGAGCTGACAGCAGGACAGGTGAGGCCGGAGCCAAACAGGCTGCAGGGGGCTGAAAGCAGGACCGGCCATGTGGGTCCACAACTGGAGGAGCAGACAGGAAGAGAGACATAAGACAGGCAGAGTAATTCAATGTATAGAGGCCGTTTGAACTAATATCCTTAAATTAACGGTTCTACATTTTGGGAAATATACTCATTTGATTTCTTGCCAAGAGTTAAATTAGAAGATCAAAATCATTCTGTCCATCCAGCAGCTGGTTAGCTTAGCTTAGCATAAAGACTGGAAACAGTGGGGGACAGCAAGAGGCGCTAGGCAGCTTTTATTTACCTTTGGAAAGAATATTTCCCAAAATGATGAAATATTTGTTTCAAGGGTTAGTTCACCCAAATTATTAGGAAAAAAAACATTTGCTCATATACCCCTCGTGGTGTCTAGCCATGCAGATATTTGTGGTTTCATTTGTTTTGAGATAACTGTCATTAGCTTTTTTACCTCCACCCCAATTTTCAAAACCAATACTATCAGCAGAGCAAAATATCACTCAGAGTAAGAGATAAAATACTACTTTTGTAATTTGTGTGAAGTGACCCTTCAAGTCCTGTTTCGCAACGTCATTGTCAAAATTACATTTAAAAAACATGCCATGAAAAGTCTTTTGTACAATAACTGAGACCACAGGTTTATGAAATTAACTTCTATCTTTGAAACAAAGATATCAGGATAAGCCGGCAATAAGTTCATTAAGTTGTGGGAGCCCTGACAAACGCCCTGCCAAAATAATGTGAACATGCCATGCTCAAAGTCAGACAAACACATGCTGAAGTCACACCACCACACTCTGTGACTTTGGTGCCATCCGTCTGTGCTATTTTCTATCAACTGTTGACTAAACCCAAACTTAAAAATTAACTAAACTGAAACCCTGTTTGGACATTATGAAAGAATCATCCGACTGTGCCACGAAAGGGAACAGCGAGCACTCCACCACAACCAGCACAGTCCGGTTACCTGTCTGTGTTTATCTCTGTGTGCCTACACTTGTTGACACCGCTAGCTCTCCCTTACTGGATTGAAAGGAACAAAAGCAAAAAAGCGTTAAAAGTTATGGCTGTAAGTCATGTACAAGAGGTACAATACACAATACGGAAATGTATCTAGTCTAGAGGTGTAAGAAAAAGGTTTCAAATATTATCTTTACAAAAACATGAGGACTTGTGAAGCATGTTGACTGCATTTCATTCATCAGGACAGGTTGCCGATACAGTAGTGTTTATGTGCAGCGCGGTTGCATGCCTTGCAAGTCTCCTGAGGCTAAAGACTCCATCAATTATCACCTAAAACAAACAGAAATTATCCTCCTTTAAGAGACAACGTGGTATTTATTTTCAGACATGACTCACTGATGACCAGATTTAAGTTATTAGCTGTCAGCAGAAGAAATGGAAGGCAGGAATCAGACAAAAACACTGCTCCTCGTGTTAAAAAAGGCTAAATGTAATAATAATAACACAAACAAATCCCCACACACAGACATTCTCCTCTTCTGTCGGTGTAACCATCTGCTCACAGGTACAGTCGGCAAACTACATAATTCACACCGAACACACAACACCCCCTCAGCCTCTTCAACACACATATGCTCATGCTCTCTCACGCTACCTGGAAATAGTCACTAGTGACAGAATTCCTTGCACTTGCCCAAAGACATGCACACTTGAGGCTTGAGCAACAATGCCTTGGCGGGTCAGGTATGTGTGTGTGTCTGTGTGTGTGTGTGTGTGTGTGTGTGTGTGACAGGCGTGAAGAGGCGGCTGAAAATATCCCATAATGATTGTGAAATGTTAGGGTGAAGCTTCAGGGGCTGAGGGCTAAGGTTAAGCCTGGAATGTCTTTAATTACAGTCCAGGCGTCCTACGCTCTGAGCTGGGAGAAGCAGACAGAATGGAGATGTTACTGAGGGTGTGAACAAAGGTTTGAACCTGGACTGTCAAGGTTATTACAGATCATTATAGGCACTAACTGCGTGACATCAGCTGCTGACAGGAGTGCAGAAGAAGTGCAGGCTTAAAAACTATTTTTCTTCAGACCACTTGAACCCATCTTCTTCCTCCATTGGGAGGATAGAACATAGGATATGTCCACTTGTACTTCACCAGACTATGCCAGCAATTATGGGATTCACAAATGCTGACTTATTCAGTTGGTGTGCTTTCCTTTTCTGTGTGTTTCTTCCACAGTTGATGTAAAAGGAGGGTGGAGGGTGCTCCACTTCAGCAGTTTACACAGAATTTGTTCAGTGTGGGAGTCTGTGGATGCATTTAAATCCAGAGGCCAGACCAGACACAGAGTCACTTCTTCTTTGGACATCAATCAGCAGTTCTGGTTAAAGCTACAGGTTTACAGGGAAGAGCTCTGAGGATTTGAATTTTCCACAGTAGCTGAGACTTTGACTGCACCGCAACAGCCATTGAATGGCTCACACATTGATTAGAGATGCGGTGAACACAAGGTTTAAAAAAATGAAACGCAGAGGGTTGAGAAATATTAAATTAGTTGCCGTGACCTCCCGCACGCCTGGAGCTCTTTTCTTGACGCCCTTCTGAATCATTTTTTTTGTCACTTCATATCTCACACTGAGCAGACAGCTGCAGCTGGCAGAGAGCAGCTGTGCAGGCAGACAGATGACCTGTGTGTGTGTGTGTGTGTGAGGCTGGTACTGGGTCTCTGTCCTTGGTTGGTGGTTTCTCTTAAGACAGGGTGCCACGCCTCAAAAGTTTGGTTTACATTGGGGCTTACTGGCTTGGCTCTGATTGGCTCAGTCTGCCACGATGAAGCACTCTGTGGAGAGCTTCATCTCTGAGGAGCCAACAGATGGTGGCCAATGGCTATCAGCTGTATTTGTGCCACTGGTGGAAAACCTCAAGGATCAAAGCAACCGAGCCCTTTAACAATCCTTTGTAGAGCTGAACCGCAGAGCTGGCACTGATTCATATAATACCCTTAAGCAGGCAAGGCAAGAGGCTGTGTTTACAGACTCACTGACGTTTGTCTGATGTATACTAACTGCTTGTAAAAACAGAACATGTTTCAAACCGAAATACCTTGTAGAGGTGTATTTAACATAACAAAATATTGTCCAAAAATGACAACATTTATTCACAAATCTAACCATCGCTCACCAGGCCAGAGCTGTAGCAGGTAGTGCAGGACTTCGATGTGCTTTTTGAAGTGCAGCGCGCTGGCCAGCTCCTCTGAGTCAATGAAGACTCGGTTGGTGTGGCAGGACGCATCCTGGCGCTGGCTGAGCAGCACCGGGCCGAAACACACCGCCAGGTTCTGGCACGTCATCTTGTTCACTTCCTGGCAGGACGCTACCAGCTTCAGGTGGTCAAGAAGCGTCTGCAGTGTCATCTGATACACACACACACACACACACACACACACACACACACACACACACACACACACACACAGAGACAAATACGGCCGTCTTATTATTATGATTAGTAGTTGTAGTAGTACCACTGGCAGCAGCAGAGCTACACTGCAAAATCCAAGTTTTCATTTTGAGTCATTTATGATTAATCTGAAAATAGTTGGCAGGCTTGTGGACTGTATGCCACCACTAATATCCCCCGATGTAAAAGCCTACGTAATAGAGGTTAAACAGTAGTGATCTGTAGCATTATCATCATGGCCATCATTATCTGAGCCACAATTATCCCTTTCACAACCAGTTCTATGACAATATTCTAGGACTATGATGACTGTGAGCGCTGGCGGGGGGAGGGAGATGCAGAGTTTGTCTTCCTCACCCTCTCCACGTCTGGCAGGTTGTCCAGCAGGCCAACGGTGTGCTCCGTGTCGGCCTGGTCGTTCTCGCAGCCCGCTGCTCCTATCCGCAGAGGCCTCGTGGCCATGGACTCCAACACCGCCTCGTACAGCTGCTTGGTGATCAGAGGGTAGGGCAGCTCTCGCAAGTAGTCCTTCAGTACTCCTGAAAGGTTGGAGAGACAGAGAGAGAATACAGCGTGAGGAAAAATGACTGCAGCAACATAGTGAGCGGATGTTAAATGTGTCAGTGAATAAATAAATGAGTTGTTTGGATCATAGCTGAGGGGGGTCATTCATTTTCCCCACGCTTGAACTGAGAACACAGGCAGCTGTAACACCTGACAAATCACGAACAAGATATCTTTAAAAAGCTTTTATTTCCCCTCTCTTTCAAACCACTGAACCTGGCACACTCTCTTGGCTGCAAATTGAGGTCCCAGTGTTCCCTCGGGTGATACTATGGTGTCTGCTGAGATGCCTGATTGGAGTAGGGAGGTGGGGGGGGGGCTGATGTCTGTGATGGCGCGTTCACACCTGTGACTTCTGCCTCTCCTAGGTTAGACAAAAGCTACGGGAAAACTTGAAACCCACGCTGTCTGTCTCCACTAAGCTCCTGAAATATCGCTGGCACGTCTTTTCATCAAAGGTAAAGGGGGGGGGGGATAAATATGTGAATAAGAAAGGCTCATTGCAGCGTGACAGCTCTTTGTGGTGAGTGTCTGCATGAAGCTGTATCAGTTTTCAGAGACGGCTGGGGGCTGTGTAATCAGCAATGTTGGTTATGCTCCAAAGTAATACAGACGAATGTCTCTATGATATTTTATAAGACCTCTGGGTTACTGTCGCCACAATGATAAAATTACCAGCAAACAAAGCACACTGTTGATCAAACCATTTAGAAATGTGAAGGACACACTTGACCAATCACCTTTTGTTGTCCCAAATACAACTTTAAAAGAGTACGCCACTGATGCAGCGTTGTTTGTTCACAAAGAAAGGTTTGACAGACTTGATGTCTGCCAATTGAAGACAGACAATGAGCTAGAAATGGATGGATGGCTCTGGGCCCGTTAAAGCTGATCCCTTGTGTTGTTACAAGGGACGGTCGCCAGCTTGATTAAGCTCACCTGGGCCTTCCAGGCTATAAAAGCTGGTCCAGATGCTCGTTGTCTCTCTCCGTTGCTACAGCTGACTTCCACCATGCATTACAATCTTTTTGGTTTTTGCACCTTCAACACCTCCACAGCGCACACGCCACACATGCACTGCTTCCGTCACTGACTTTGCGCACTCCATTTTGTGTTTACCTTAGTTTAATAAGTTATGTTTGGTTTTAAGTATGACCTTGTGTGGACTCCCTCCTTGTCACATTCCCTGAGCCAGTGTGAGACAAATGTGAAATACTTTACTCGACATACTGTATATCAATGCAACCACACTGAATCTATATTTGCACAGTGCACCATATACCCAACACACGTTTTGTTCTGCAATGCCACTGATGCTACAAACACTTGATGCTTGAACAACATTTCATAAGCATGCCCAGCTGCCAACAGTCCAATCAGTACAAAGATTTCCTGTCCTTGCTGTCTGCACCTTTGGACCCTGGCAACTCGTCCCAAAAGGTTTATTCTCCGCTGAGATGCCAGCGATTGCTGCTTTCCTACTCCAAACACTTGTGCCAACATGTTTATCATATAATGTCTTGGCTGTATTTGACACTATGAGAATGCTGTGATGCTGCAGAGGCGTACGGCTGTTTCACTGCTCTGCTGCGGATCTGCTTGTGGACGATGTTTTGGTGTGTTGCTGGGCTGCTCATTTCTGCTCTTTAAGCTTCTTCCTTCTATGTGTGAAATCCTTGCATTGCTCAATTGTAGATTGAGTTTGGCACAAACATTATGATGCACCCCTTCTGTTTATTTATGCAGCGGTGAAATATGAATATTCAGACTGTAGTGCAATGTGTTTTATGAGCTGAATATGTTTTTTGCCGTAGGTTCTTGCATTGTTTTGGAGGTTGGATAGGCTTCCTACAAACACGGATCTCTGATTGTGGGTATGATTGTATATCAGCTTGAAGGATGTAAGCATGAAAACCCATTCACAATTGTTTCCCTGCATCCCAAAGCAGTGTCACAATCCCTTGGGCTTTTGCAACTGATTCTGATTTGGATGCTGTAAATAGGAGCTCCTACTTTATCACTTCTACATCGCTGGATTTCCTCCCATACACCCGAAATGTTTTGCCTCTTGCCTTTTTATTTACAGCAAACTGCAGTAAGATTCACGGTAAATCTGCTGACATCCCAATTAGGCCCAGTAAGGAGAATGGAGGGCACAATTTAACGTGCTCACTGTTTAATCCCAGTAAGTCCCCGCTCTGCTCTCTAAGGGAGCCTGAGGCTTAAAGCTTTGCAGTCTATTCCTAACTGGCATCGTGGGTCCATCACACAATAATCTAATAAAGCGGATTGACAAATGTTTTAAAAAGGGAACCTTGCATTTCTTTGTTTTTAGGTGATGACACACTTCAATTTCCCGTTTTCCTTTCCAACAGCTACATGGACATACAAGCTTTTGGATAAAGGATTAGAGGGTGAAAGAAAGATCTAAATTCAGCTCAGTGTTACACTTAAATCTCAGATTAGCATTAGGTTCAGTATCTGCACAGTGACATTCAGCAGAAACAAAACACAACACTCATTGAGAGAATAAACTACTGGAAACTTTAAGTGTTGCATTTATTGGTCAAACTACTCATCAAGCACAAAACCACAACAGGTTTCACAATAAATTCAAAAGGTATAAAAAAACTAAGTGATTTGAATTCTCGTTAGCACTTATTTCTTTTCTTTCAAAAGTTAATCCACAATACTTCCTTTTTATATGTATATTTCTGTTTAATATGACATTAAACAGTTTTGGAAGATCATGCACTCAATTTGTTCCAGATATCTATGGTCTCCAGAGGACAAATCGTGACGAACATTTAGCTTTGGCCAATATGCTCAAACTGATGACCAAATACCTGCAAAATGAATATTACCAACAACTTCCGCTGTGCTAAGTGCTAAATATCAAATCAAATGCTAACACGCTCAACAAAGCTGGTGAACATGGTAAACATTATGCCTGCTGCACATTGGCATGTTAGCGTTGTAAGCGTGCCGTCATTAGCATTTAACTCTGTGCTGTAGACTCTTGTTACACATTTTAGCTGTAATTTGTATAATTTATTGAATGCGTTTCCTACAGTTGGGCTTTTTTGCCTATTGCACTGTTTATCTATTTCATTTCTGGGGACAAGCATTACAAATGAGCTTAGACTGTAAATGCTGACTATGATATGTGGAATTAGATTTGTTTTGGCGATTATCCAATGCTGTGAATCTGTCCCCACTAGAATAATAGATACTTGAAAAATAATAGATATTGTACTGTTTGTGCCAGCTACCATAATAACAGAAAAACAGCAACTTTGCTGTCTTGCTTTTGAAGTCCATCCACAACTCTTTCTTCTTAACTCGAGACTCAACACTACCCGACAAACAGACACGCACGCACAAACACACACAGATATACAGAGAGAGAGAGAGAGAGAGAGAGAGAGAGAGAGAGAGAGAGAGAGAGAGAGAGAGAGAGAGAGAGAGAGAGAGAGAGAGAGAGAAAAAAACAACTCATACCCAAACAAGCACACAGGCGCACCATGCCAGCCCCCCCACCCCCGACCAACGTGTTGACAGCTATGGGTCAGCGGAGTCAGACTTTAACGCGACTTCGGGAAAACATTCAAACTTCATAAAATGTCCCTGCTATTGAAGGTGTCCCCTGTGCCCGGATGATCTGTGGCGCCATGTTTCCATGTTTGTTTTTTAGTTCTTATTCACTTCAGTTATCAATTATCTTCATCGGGTTTGGTATGAAATCTGGTATGAGCAGAATGCGATAAGGACCCATGAACGCAAGATACATTCCCTATCCTTAATGCTCCTCTGCACATGCTGATTTCCAAATCTGATTACGCAGAAATGCTTTATGAACATCCTCCGGCTTCCTGTTCTCAATCTTTGCTGAGACTTTACTGAGATAATAATAATCAGCGTGTTTCATCGCAGGAACAACACAGACTGCCTGGAAGCTAAAATGAGCCATATGTTTCCACCCTTATCTCTGAAGAGCAAGGCTTCTTTTGTTAAGCCGGTGTGCAAATAAAATAAAGAGAGGTACCTCTTGATTTGTTTTGTTTTGTTTGTGTCTGAAATGAAAGACCCTTTGACCTTCACTTCACTGTGAGGCAGATCATCTAGACACAACAACAGCAGGACCGGTTTGCGTTAGTGCTGCTTCATGAAACAAAACATCCTCTTTATGCCTCGCACTCAATATATACGACTACGTGTTTAGGCTGTTTCCATTTCAGTAATTTAAAGAAAATACACAGGTCAGTAAGACCTTGTGCTCATGTGTGCTTGTGTTTGTCTGAAGTGAGGAAAATACAGCCATTCAGGTAAATCATTAGCCTGCTCATGAGTCAGTGCTGGTGTTTACTTTTGCGTCTTAGCCCCTCTGTTGGTGCCTGAGCCACACAAACACAAGGTCATGGGCTCAGGGGTGAACAGGTGTGCTTCAACTGCAGGTGCTTCACTTTCCTTCACAGCCAAGCTGACAACAAGCACAGCCTGAGTGTCTTGCTCTCTCACATTTAGACTGTTGGGGGTTTGGCTTGAAACCAGCAGAGATATGAACTACACATACATATACCTCCACCCACACGCATGGCGGATTAACTGAAATGAGTCCTGAAATCAATAGCAGCTCCTTCAAAACATGCAATTAAAGCTACAGAGTATAGTAGCGAAAAGTATTTTGATGTAAATTTGTGTGATTTTTTTCTAATCAATTCAGACTTTCAATGTTCCAAATGTGCCACCAAACACTACAAGGCACACAATGCACTGGGGCACGGCTCTACCTTTGACCTCTTGTTCAAACAAAGCGGAAGGTCACTCCTCTTGTCAGTGCTGCAGTCAACGCCTCGCCTGGAGAACAAATGGGGGTTTGTCCCCCCCCCCCCCCCCGCTGTCCTGCACGCCCCCACAGCACTAGGGGGGGCCAGAGGAGGTGTGTGTGTGGGTCGCTGCCTTGTCCGGTGGCACGGCAAAGCTTTACACTGAGGTTTCTTCAACTTTTTCCGTAACCCCCGCATACCCCATTCCTGAATCTGGAAACAGCAGCGCTCTCATGCTTCATGTGGATTCATCAGTAATATGTCTTTATGATTACCGACCGCATTGTAAGAGCTCTTCTGACACCCACACAGGCCTGCAGCTCTTTGTAAAGTGGTTGCCTGCTTCCCCGGCCGGCCCAAGGTTCAGCTAATCCCCCATGCGTGAGCCAAATACCATCTGTGTTTGTTCGGCAACAAAGGGGGCACTTGTTAATGACTTTCCATGTCTTCACTGGTGTACTGCCGAGGGCGGGGGGTGGGGGTGGGGGTGGCGTCGAGAAATAGGCTATGGAAATGACGAGTCAGGCGAGGCAAATTAAAAGACCTCAAACAAGGATGAATAACTGGGCTGAGCTGTCAACCAGCCGGGCTTGGGACAGACGACAGATATCCGGACAAGTTTGCCACCATTGGATCACTTCAGAAGCTTTGTTTCCACACAAAGGCCAAAACAGGTTGAGCTGAGGGTTTAATCATTAGTTACGGTCGCTACAGTGGCCTTTCTCACAGTGATTCATTGTGTATTTGTTTTATCCAACCAGGGTGACATGTAAGGAGGCGTGAATTCTAAAATAAATTGTTTTCATTTTGTGGTTATGCTCTGCTTGTTATTATTTTTGTGTTATACTCTGCTTATGCTGAGTGACATTTGACATCATACAGCCTTAGATTTTACCGACTGACCTCCATCCCCACTCCAAACTGGTGTGTGATGCCTTCGTCACTGGGTAGAAAAGCATCATCTGATAGTTTGAGTAACTGAACTATTTGACAACACAAAGGCCTACTGAAAAGTGCAAAAATCCTGCTCCAATTAAACTTCTCCTACAGTATTAATGAGGGACACATGGGCATACTGAGTGTAGATTAAAGTGGCTGAAAATAAGAATAATCACTTCAAATGCCTATTTAATGAAATAGTTCAATATTTAGGGAAACGCACAAATTAGCTTGCTGAACGTTAGATGAGAAGATCAGTATCACTCTCATAGTCAATTTGAAGCTGTCTCCAACAGTTTATAGCTTAGCTTAGCATAAAGACTTGAAACGGGGGGGAAACAGCTAGCCTAGCTCTGTCAGAAGGTACAAATAAATCCACTTCCAAGAATCTGTAAAGCTTGCTCATTAACACGATGTATCATTTTGTTAATCCGTACAAAATAAAAAGTTTAAAAACAACAAGTTGAGGAGATATAGGGTTATAGGATTATTAAAGTTGTAGGTGTCCAATATGTGGCACATTCAGTGTACATTAAAGTAATTAAGAAAAAGAGACAGCGTTTTCAACGCGTATTTACATAAAAGTAGAGAACTGAACCACGACTCTGGTGAATTGTTCGATGATTGCCAGGAATCTATAGAGGCTATGAATCCCTCTGGTCCACCTCCACATCACCCAACATACTGCAGCTCAGACTCTTTCTATGCCTCTAAAGTGTCGCACATGGACAGATTAACTACAGAGCAGAAAGACTATTTACGGACCACAAACTGCTGAAGATAATACTGTTTGTCTTGATTTCCAACAGCATGGTGCTCTTGTTGATAACAGCTCTCTGGTACTTTTGAGTGAACTGTGATTTGAAACAATTGAGGGCCGCGCACTGAGCATGTTTTGCAAGCTTTGGATTGAACTCTGATCTCTCGATAATCCCTTTCACTACCTCCGCTTTTAAATTAGCCGTGTGACACGCCAGGCCTCTTAGCTCATCCATTTGCTGTTCGCTCATTAGCCCCGAGCCTGACTCGGCACTGCAGAGACTCCCTTTTAATCCACAAATTCAGCCTTTAAATTTATAAGATTTATAAGTGACATTTCACTTCAGTTATGAATTCAAATTAGGAGCATTTCTTGTAACATGAAGAGATTACGTTTAGAAACAGTGGCAAGAAAAAGTCGAATACGGTCAGTCAAGTTTCAGGACAGTATGTTTTTTAGACTAAACCCATGATTATGTCCCAGATGAACATTTTTGCAACACACACACACACACACACACACACACCATAAACCCCTCATCTGCCTCCCCTCCCCCACTTCTCTGTCCTCTCCCACTCACTCAGGCCCATCTGCAACAGCACCTCGCTTGGTGGAGCAAATTTAGGCAGCGAGCAAAAACCAACAATCCACGCTGGTGCTGGCCCTTTTTTCCTAACCCGCTCAACTGTTAACTGTGTTCTTTGGCCTGCCATGCAAATGCATGTGGATCAAAGCAGGCATGATAGGACGACGCCTATACGGGGCCTCTTCCCAAAACCAACAGCAGCTCCTACAATGTCCAGGGGCTCATTGGTCTTCCTCTTTTTGTGGGAGAAACAAAAATCATGACCAAGTAATTTTCTACAACTTTGCCCCCGCCCCCCCCCCCTCATCTGTCGCACTGCTGGAATCATTACTCAATCCAATGACACGGCTGTTTTTGTAAGCTTAAGACTTTGTGAGATGTGCTGTAACTCACTGGTTCCATTATGTATTTCACAGCCTCGGAGCGGAGAGAGAATGCATCTCACAGGAATCTGAGTGGCATTTCAATTACTGGCTGAATAATAAACTGAGAGGAATCAAATTTTCATCACTACATGCGGAGCAATAAAACATCTTTCAAACTGCCATCATTAACCAGACTGAGTGCTTTGTATTTACTAAAGCGTGTCCTACAATGGACAATACAGAGCATGTCTCAACCACAAACCTGAAGGAGAAAGAATGACCTGAATGTACAGCATGGTTTGATTTGTGTGTCTGTGTGTGTGTGTGTGTGTGGGTGTGTCTGTGTGTGTGTGTGTGTGGGCCCTTGCCCCAGGCACCGGCTGACTGCTGGAATGCTTTTACTACAAACAGCAGACTCACACACGTACACATGTGCTGACCTATCTGCAGAGGACATGCCGGTTCAGACACGTTTACTGGGGCAAGGACCGGATCAATAAATCCAGCCTCCATCTAAGTAATGACCTCTTTGTTTTATTATTAATGTCGATTAGCAATAAAGCCTCGATCTCCTAATTAAGTGACTAGTCAGTGTGTTTTTCCCATCTATTTTTTTATTCTTATTGTTAAGTTTTTCCATCTTGTGCAAAGCATTTTGTAACTTTTGCCAAAAACGGTTCTGTATAAATTACATTTCAATACTCTCATAATGGCAAAAGTCTAAAATAGAGTACACAACGCTCTGACAGGTGTATGATATTGCGGTTTAACAATGTTTGATAATATACAATATAATAAATATGTTTGACACGTTTTCAAATAAAAAAATGTGAGTATTTGCTGCTTGTCTTCTTTTGAAGGGTAAAAGTAGACACCATCTGGGTTTAAACGTTTCTTCAGGATAAAAACAAACGGTTAGGTTAATTTGGGCTCTTGGACATTGTGATGGACATTTCACTAGTTTTTGACAATTTAAAAAAAAATCAATGGTATAAGCGGTAATTGAAATAGATTTCAAATGGAATCACATGTCTGTTTCATGGGTAGCCTGAGTGTATTTTGGGACATCACAATGAAGTACAGTCAAGAGGGTAGATCAGAGGGACACCAACACTCTTTGGGAAAGCCACGCAGTAAAATAATTATACTCAGTGTGTGTGTGGTGACCCTGTGCTTATGCGCTCTGTCACCAGCAATCTATTTACCTGTGATGACGTTAACGTCGGGATAGGTGTTTTCACACAGCTCCACGCCACAGCTGTCTCTCTCAAACGCCTCTCGCAGCTCCTTCTTCACGGCTGCAGATCCACATAGACGGTAGAGACCCACAACCTAAAAGAAACGCACATGGACACACAATTTAGGTCACGTCAACAAAACATTTAAAAGAGAGGCATTTTTACAACAATATCGATCAAGTCTGCAATTTAAAAAAATGTGCTGGACAGAAGCCAAAACTTTGGTCTGTTTTACAAAAAGGTAGATTATTTTTGATGGGACGCTGGAGGGCCAGCTTGGAGCAGCACCACACCAGCACCAGTATTCACTATTTACTTATTTTGACCAAACATACCTTGTATTCTACCTTTCATCTGCTTACTATTGTAATCGTATTTCTCTATATCTTAATTCTGCCTCTTTTGTCCCCCATGAATGTGAATCCTGAAAGAGGGATGGCTCTGTCCTTTGTTGCTCTTCATGCCTTCAGATTTGATTATTTCTTCTTTCAAATGATATGTAGTCTTACTTTAAAATGCTGCTGTGCATTATTTGCAATACATCTGTGCGTTTCATCACTTGGTTTATTTGGCTAAAAGAAAGAATGTGCTGTGTTTTGCCAATCTACACTCAGAGATGTGATGATACTGTCACATCTTTATGAGCATTAAAGATGGACGCACTACGCAGTAAACCATCAATGTTTCTTTATCTAAGCCTCCACAGTGCGACCTAAAGGAACTCTGAACAACTTCCTCCAGATGCTGACATTTTACATGTGAAACTTGGCACCGATGGTCTCCTTGTTATGCTGGGATTAGGCCCGGCTACAGACATACTTCCTCCTACATGTGTCTGTCTGGTATGTTGCATAGCAGAGCAACTGGTGTGGTTGCCCTGGTAACGTGTTAAGTCAGTGGGCTGTGAATGGCGGGTCGGGTCCAGTTGCACTCAAACACAAATACGCACACACACACAGACACACACACACACACACACACACACACACACACACACACACACACA